AGAGGGGCCTTGAGACATGACTAATGACTACAGGAAATGTCATTTTAGTGCCAGGAAATGTCTTTCTTGTTTATTCTGGACCCTATTGGGAAAATTGGCATCTTTTGAAATTTGTGTGAAATTGGCAAAATTGCTAAATTTCTGACCACTGTACTGGATAGTTGAATTTCATAAATGAGTGGTTTCTTGCAACCCATTCGATAGAAAAAATGGAGTTCTAGCGAAATATTCATGTTTTTTGTCGACTAGTACAGTGAAATTGGCCGAAAATGGGGCTCAAAGTAGGCAAAATCGCCGATGCGTAAACATCGCCGAGACCGCTAACTTTGCGAGAGCATAATTCCGTAAGTTTTCTATCAAATTTCAAACTTTTGGTGTCTTTATGATCGGGAAAAGATTCTCTATCTTTTCATAAGAGAAAATAATTTTTTTTTTTTTTTAAATTTGGCCGACCCTGAGAACGAGTTTCGGAGAGGGCCTGTCAACCCTCAAAGGGTTAACTAGCGATGGCTTTGATTAACGATAAATCTGACTAGTGATACATTTAAACTCAAAAATTTTGCCTCAACTAGCGCTTAAAAACCCGACCAGCGCTATTCGTTCCGTACCATACGCGTCCACTTTGGCCTGAGCGCGCCTCACTTGTCCCTTGGGTGTCAGTGTTTACAAGCCAGCCAGCCACCGCAGTCACTTCCAAACATACAACAACTGGAACATTTCATATTATCACAGCCTTTGTAGTGATTGCACCTGCAAAATAAGTCACCATGGGCCCCAAGAAAGCTTCTAGTGCCAGCCCTACAGCAAAAAGGGTGAGAATTACTATGGAGATGAAGAAAGAGATCATTACTCAAGAAATCGTAATGACACGATTGCAAACAAACCATACCCCCGGCTGGGATTGAACCCGTGGTCATAGAGTCTCAAAACTCCAGCCCGTCGCGTTAGCCACGGGCTGGTGTAGAAATATACCTAGTTGGATGAATCTTATTGTGGCTAGCTGGTCTAGTGGCTAACGCGACGGGCTGGAGTTTTGAGACTCTATGACCGCGGGTTCAATCCCGGCCGGGGGTATGGTTTTAAAGAGATCATTGCTAAGTATGAAAGTGGAGTGCGTGTCTCTGAGCTGGTCAGGTTGTATAATAAACCCCAATCAACCATCGCTACTATTGTGGGTAAGAAAACGGCAATCAAGGAAGCTGTTCTTGCCAAAGGTGCAGCTGCTGCTGCACCACAGTCAGCTGCTGTTGTTGCTGCACCACCATCAGCTGTATTACTCGAAGATGTGGAGAGAGTGTTGTTGGTGTGGCTTAACGTGAAACAATTACCGAGAAACGATTAACCCCGGAGGGTTAGCCACCCAGCATAACCCAAGAAAGTCAGTGCATCATCGAGGACTGTCTAACTTATTTCCATTGGGGGTCCTTAATCTTGTCCCCCAGGATGCGACCCACAACAGTTGACTAACACCCAGGTGAACAGGAAAAAATGCCTGGAACTACTGCTCATATTGGTGAGGTTAGTGGGGAGGATGTGGAAGAGTTGGTGGAGGAGGGCAATGAAGAACAAACCACTGATGAGCTGCTAGATCATCTTCAACAGTAAGAGGCCACATCTGAGGAAACTGCTTCGGAGGAGGGGAGAGAGAAATTGAAGAAGTTGCCTACTTCAAAGATTAAGGAAATGTGTGCAATGTGGCTTAAATTGCAAACCTTTTTTGATGAAAATCACCCTCACACAGCTATTGCAAGCCATGCTGGTGACTATTACACTGACAATGTTGTGAAACACTTTAGGATAAAGGAACGAGAGGTACAGGCCTCTATGGACAGATATGTTGTGCGACAGAAGTCCAGTGACTCTGAAGCTGGTCCTAGTGGCATTAAAAGAACAAAGGAAGTAACCCCAGAAAAAGACTTGCTGCCTCAAGTGCTAATGAAAGGGGATTCCCCTTCTAAACACTAAGACTCTCTCCTCCCATCCCATCAATCATCACCAGATCTTCAATAAAGGTAAGTGTCATGTAACTGTGCATGTCTTCTTCAATTTGTGTGTATTAAAATTAATATTTCATGTGGTAAAATTTTTTTTTTTCAATACTTTGGGGTGTCTTGCACGGATTAATTTGATTTCCATTATTTCTTATGGGGAAAATTAACTTGACTACCGATTATTTTGATTAACGATGAGCTCTCAGGAAAGGATTAATATCGCTGGTTGAGGGTCCACTGTATAGCCGGACTTCAGTCCTGGAAATGGGAAGTACAATGCCAGCACTTTAAAGGAGGGGTTTAGGATATTGGCAGTTTGGAGGGATATGTTGTGTATCTTTATACATATATACTTCTAAACTGTTGTATTCTGAGCACCTCTGCAAAAACAGTGATTATGTGTGAGTGAGGTGAAAGTGTTGAATGATGATGAAAGTATTTTCTTTTTGGGGATTTTCTTTCTTTTTAGGTCACTCTGCCTCGGTGGGAGACGGCCGAATTGTTGAAAAAAAAAAAAGACTGTTGAGTTATATGTAGTAGGTTGGTAGACAGCAACCACCCAGGGAGGTACTACCATCCTGCCAAGTGAGTGTAAAACGGAAGCCTGTAATTGTTTTACATGATGGTAGGATTGCTGGTGTCTTTTTTTTTTGTCTCGTACACATGCAAGAAATGTATGAGAGTATAGCTATATCAATGCTCTTGTATGGGTGTGAGGCATGGGCTGTGAATGTTGCAACAAGGAGAAGGCTGGAGGCAGTGGAGATGTCATGTCTGAGGGCAATGTGTGGTATGAATATAATGCAGAGAATCCCTAGTTTGGAGATTTGGAGGAGGTGTGGGATTACCAAAACTATTATCCAGAGGGCTGATGAGGGGGTTATTGAGATGGTTTGGACATGTAGAGAGGATGGAATGTAATAGAATGACTTCGAGAGTGTACAAATCTGTAGTGGATTGAGACACTTATGCAGCATATGGAAATCTTTATTCAAGATTTCCATATGCTGCATAAGTGTCTCAATCTTCAACTTGTCAGTTTTTCAAACCATTCATCACAAATCTGTAGTGGAGGGAAGGCGGGGTAGGGGTCTGCCTAGGAAAGGTTGAAGGGAGGGGGTAAAGGAGGCTTTGTGTGTGAGGGGCTTGGACTTCCATCAAGTATGCATGAGCATGTTAGACAGGAGTGAATGGAGACAAATGGTTTTTAGGACTTGATGTGCTGTTGAATTGTGAGCAAAGTAACATTTATGAAGGGATTCAGTGAAACTGGCAGACCGGACTTGAGTCCTGGAGATGGGAAATATAGTGTCTGCACTCTGAAGGAGGGGTGTTAATGTTGCAGTTTTATAACTGTAGTGTAGGCATGCCTCTGGCAAGACAGTGGAGTGAATGATGAATGAGTGGGATTAATTGTAAAGGACCTGCCTAGTATGGGCAAACAGGCCTGCTGCAGTGTTCCTCCTTTCTTATGTTCTTATGTAAGTTTTTCTTTTTCGGGTCACCCAGCCTTGGTGGGAAACGGCTGATATGTTAATAAAAAATAAATAAACAGTACATGTATACTGAAGTAAACTGCCTTAGACATATCCTATAAAAAGATGTCAATTCAACTGATATCTCTTGTATAAGAACTGCCAAACATCATTAACCTTTACGCTTTTTATCATATTAATCTACGGTCCTGTATGATCTGTTTATCATGCAAATCAAAAGTAGTACTGTATTAAATTTTTGCAGGTTTAAACAAAACATATAATTTATATTAGGAAATCATCTTAGGCTTTAGGTGCCACATTTATATCCAGTAAAAAAATAACTGCACTTTGCAACCCCTATACCTGGAGTATACCTGGAGAGGGTTTCGGGGGTCAACGCCCCTGCGGCCCGGTGTGAGACCAGGCCTCCTGGTAGATCAGGGTCTCATCAATCAGGCTGTTACTGCTGGCTGCACACAAACTGACGTATCAACCACAACCCAGCTGGTCAGGTACTGACTTTAGGTGCCTGTCCAGCACCTCCTTGAAGACAGCCAGGGGTCCATTGGAAATCCTCCTTATGTATGCTGGGAGGCAGCTGAACAGTCTTGGGCCCTTGACCCTTATTGTATTGTCTCTCAGTGTACTCGTGGCACCCCTGCTTTTCACTGGGAGAATGATGCATCTCCTGCCAAGTCTTGCTATCATAGAGAGTGATTTCCGTGTGCAAGTTTGGTACTAATCCCTCTAGGATTTTCCAAATGTATATTATCATGTATCTTTCTCACCTGTGTTCCAGGGAATACAAATCAAGGGACTTCAACTATTCCCAGTAATTTAGGTGCCCTATTGTACTTATGTGTGCAGTGAAAGTTCTTTGTACACTCTCCAGGTCAGCAATTTTGCCTGCCTTGAAGGGGCAGTTAGTGTACAGCAGTATTCTAGCCTAGAGAGAACAAGTGATTTGAAGAGAATCACCATGGGCTGGGCATCCCTAGTCTGGAAGGTTCTCATTATCCATCCTATCATTTTTCTAGCCCATGCGGTAGATACGTTGTTGAGGTTTTTGAAGGTGAAATCCTCTGACATTATCACTCGCAGGACCTTCACATTACTTTTTTGCCCTATTTTATGGTAGAATTTGTTGTATACCCTGATATAGTTTTAATTTCCTCAAATTTTCCATATCTGAGGAGTTGAAATTTCTCTTCATTGAGCTTCATATTGTTTTGAGTGGCCCATTCAAAGATTTGGTTGATGTCTGCTTGGAGCTGTGGTGTTTTCGATGGAGGACACTCATGGTAGTTCGAATGTCATCTACAAATACATGTTGATAAAGTCAAATTTTGCAATATTTTGGTCAATAAGACCCAAAAAAGGTGAAATTAAGTTTAATTTTACAGAAATCTGAGCAATAGATAAATTAGAATCAAAATGTTATTCTGGCTAAACTGCCAAAGGTTTCACAAATAAAATGACATTCAATATGAAAGAAAACTGACATTAAATCACAAATATGAAGTCTACCAACCTGAGAACTGAGTGAATGTCTGAGGTAGGAGAGAATGAGATTATTTGGCAGGGGTCCCATGAGAGCCTGTTGCAAAATGTAATCGGCTAAGTGGTAGATGTCACCACTCACAGCTCTTGGTAACACCTGAAATATTTACCATTAAAAATAAACATCAATGAATGCTTCATTTTATTTACAATACTGTACTTTATTCCATCAGCATCTGCAAGATCCATTCTGCATCTTGGCAGTCTGGGTCCCTGTACCAAGACAGTATGTCTAGCATTTGGTCCCTGTACCAAGACATAGTATGTCTAGCATTTTGTCTCAAGCCGATTGTGGTACAAATGGTTCATCTGATGAATGTAATAAAAACAATACTTCAATACTTCAGAACAGAGTTTATATAAATGGTTTTAGAAAATGAAAATGAGACACTTTTGCAACATTTGGGTATCTGTACTGGACTGAAGAAACCATGCTGGAAAAACATTTCCAGAATAGATACCCAAATGCTGCACAAATGTTTCATTTATCAGTTTCACAGCAGAGATGCACATACAGTAAACTCTCCATATAAAAGATTAATAGGAATGCAGGTGGCCAGTAATGGCAATTGTAGAAGATAGGGAAAAAGATTGTTTAGCCATGATTTTAGGAATACTGGACAATTGAGTAACCAACAGACTTTGTCCATTCTTCCGTATCAATAGACCCAGAGGATTTTGTTCCTTATTTCCAAAGTCTGTTATATAGAGGGTTTACTGTACATCAACAGATAAGGTCAGCAGGAAAGAGAAAATTAGTAACCAAAGTGGGAATGTAGACAACAAAAATCTGTAGTAGACAGCATTAGCACTAAAAGCAACAGCATTAGCTTTAAATTGAAGGGCCAACAAATCAAGCAATGGAGGGTGTGAAAGGACAGCCTGAAAATAAAAAGCAATACACTGAGATAATGTAATCATGACAATCAGGCAAGATGTTCTGGACAGTTACTACAGTCTGGCAAACCTTGCAAAGCATAGCAACAGATGAACATGAAATGTAACAAAATATTTAAGTCACAGACATGGGCACCAACCTCACGGACACCATACGGCAATATTATAAACAAGCTGCAGATGCACAGTCACTTATGGATAACTAACAATAGGTCATAAAACACAAACAAAGGATTCGCAAATTCATCAATACTGAAAACTTACAGTATTGCAGTTCCTTATGATATACCTAATATATTTGACTATTAATATCTCATTCAAATAATTTTAATTAATTGAATGTAATTCACCTAGAAATACAAATTAGCAAAATGTTTCTTCTTACAGTTTTGATATGAATTCCCCACTGCAGATCCGACCAGCGTTCCCGCCAAGCTCGTATTAGCAGTGAGCGAATGGTACCAGCTTTGCTGCTGGTTACTGGTTCAAGAACCATTTTGAAAAACCTAGTATGGCTAACTGAGTAAATGTTGCATGTAGCCAATGTCAGTTTTCCAGATTACAGTAACAGTTGATCTAATCTGGAATAAAAAAAAAAGTCTCAAATAATGTACAGCACAATACAATACTGTATTAATAATTAAATTCATTACGTACATCCAAAATTAGAAATAAACTACCTAGCACATGCTGTACTTAACAATTGCTGAATTTCTTTAATTATATGATATTTTAACCCTTTGACTGTCGCAACCCCCAATCCTGAGGTGTCTCCTGGTGTCGCAAAATTTAAAAAAAAAAAAATTATTTTTTCTTATGAAATGATAGAGAATCTTTTCCCGATTGTAATGACACCAAAAAAACGAAATTTGATGGAAAACTGACGGAATTATGCTCTCGCGAAGTTAGCGACCTCGGCCTGTTTACAAATCGGCGATTTCGCCCACTTTGAGCCCTATTTTCGGCTAATTCCATTGTTCCAGTCGCCCAAACTCATAGCTATTTCTTTAGAACTTCATTTTTTCTATCGATTGAATACAAGAAACTGCCCATTTACTGATTTCAACTACCTAATAATGTGGTCAGAAATTTGCAATTTGGCCAATTTCACGAAAACTAAAAAATATGACAATTTCAAAAAAGGTCTAGAATGAACAATGCAGACATTCCTGGCTCTAAAATAACATTTTCTTTGTTCATCAGTCACGTCCCCGGGCCCTTCTGATTTTACTCTTGAATTTTTTTCAAAAAAAAAAATATTAGATTACATTATGCAGACTACTGAAATGCTGTAATAACTGTATAAAAAACTAAAACCCATTCATGACTGCATATTAGAAGGCTATTTGGGACTTTTTTTTTGGACAATGGCATCATTTGTTTACTTTTGAACAGGGGAAAAATAAAAACTTTTCCCCTACTTTGAGCTCCATTTCAGGTTTTTTTTATAGAAAAATCAAAAAAATCCCCTCTATTTCGTAATTGTTTTCCATTCTATCAAATAAACCCAAGAAAACGAGAATACAACCAAATTATACGAAAATAGACCACAAATGGGCATTTTAATTAAAAAAAACGTCGGATTTTTTTTTTTTCTATTATGCACTCATGCCCAGATTTTTTTTTGGTGCACACTACCACACAGACCCATTCTCTCACTTTGGGGGCCTCCCATTTTCCCCTGCTTGATTTAAGCCGCAGAATTTATGGTATATTACTCAAACATGGCCCCTCGTAAAACGTATATTTCGGCCGCGACAGTCAAAGGGTTTATCTTTTTCATTTCATTTAAAAAAAATATATATATTTGCAGTTCGAAGGAGCACTGAACTGTACTCTGCACAACTCCAGCAAGACAGTAAATAAAAAAAAAATGATGGTGAAGTGTTTCTTTTTAGTTCGTATTTGTGTGTTGCATGTGCACACACACACACACACACACCACACCACACACACACACACACCACAAACCCCCAACACACACTACACCACACACGTAGTGTAGTGGGTCAAAAGGCCCCGGGCTCCGAGAATCTTGTGCTTTTGGGGCATGTTTTAGCACTAGAAGCAACCAGTGTTATGACAACGTCAGTGAAAACCTACAAGTGAAAACCCAAAGTATTAGCAAAAATAAATAAAGTAAAGGCAAGAAAGCCTGAAATTATAAAACAAAATTTCAAAGTCCCAGTTGTTGAGGCCTATTGGGCCTTTTCCACATTTTACAATATAAAAAGTACAAAGCGAGTGATAAAAGAAAGTCAAAAAGAATTAAAGAGGTTTGGGTAACGACAAACTTTATGTACACACAGCGTGAAAAAGCTAGCCAAAAGGGGGTATTTTTAAAATTATATTTAATATATATATATATAAAAATATATTTTTTTATTTTTTTTTTTTTTTTTTTTATTTTTTTTTTTTTTTTTTTTTTTTTTATTTTTTTTTATAAATTTATTTTTTTTTTTTTTTTAAATTTTTTTTTTATTTTTATTTTTTATTTTTAATTTAAATAAAATAAAAAAAATTAAAAAAAAATTAAAAATAAAAAAAATTATAATTTAAATATAAAAAAAAAAATATAAATATAAAAATATTAAAATATAAAAAAAAAAAAAAAAAAAAGGGGGTGGCGAAGGTGAGGGTAGGCCGCCCTAACAGGTTTTTGCATCACAAAAAAGGGTTACTTACCAAATGAAAATGAAAATAAAAATGGGAACAAATATAAGTGTGGTAAAGGGGCTAAAAAAAGGCAAAAAAAAGGGAAAACAGGTCAGGGGGAAAGGGACACAAAGACAGGACATCTAAGGAAGGACACAGGTTAGGGTTCCCCCGGGGGAAACTAAAAACACCTGTTTTTTTTGGGGGAATTTTAGTGGTAAGGCCCTAGAAAGGTACTGGGGATAAAATGCCCCGGGGTTATATAAAAACCCCTCATTGGGAAAAATTTTTGGGGCAGGAAAACGGGGGAAAGTCCCGGCTAAGGGTGCCCGCCGTTTTTGGGGTTTTTTAGGGGCCCAAAACTTCAAAAGGAAGCAAGTAGGGGAAAACGATAAAAGGAATAAAACGGGAAAAAAAAAAAGAAAAGTGATTTAAAAAGAAAGTGAAGACTTAAGAAAGGATAACAGAGGGAAGACGGAATAAAAAAGAGGAAAACAAGGGGAAAAACAAAGGGGCCCCAGGAGCTGAGTCTCGCCCCCTGAAACCACAACTAGGTGAGTAAAACACACTATCCGGGAATTGACCGCGCCCCCACCCCCCCCACAACCCTTTCCCTCCCCACAACCTTTCCCCCCCCCCGCTCTTGCCTTCATCCCTCTTCCCTCCTACTTTCCCCTCCCCCCCCTCGCGTTTTTCTCTCTCATACCCTCATACCTTTTTCCTTCCCTTCCCCTACTCTCTCTCCCCCCTCCTTTCTCTCTCTCTCTCTCCTCTCTCTCTCTCTCCTCTCTCTCACCCCCTTTCTCTCTCTCTCTCTCTCACCCCCCTTTCTCTCTCTCCTCTCTCTCACCCTCCTTTCTCCTCTCTCTCTCTCAAACCCCCCTTTTCTCCCCTCTCCCTCTCCCTCACCCTCCTTTCCCTCTCTCTCTCTCTCTCTCACCTCCTTTTCTCTCTCTCTCTCTCTCTCCCCCCCCCCTTTCTCTCTCTCTCTCTCTCCCCCCCCTCCTTTCTCTCTCTCTCTCTCACCCTCCTTTCCTCCTCTCTCTCTCACCCTCCTTTCTCTCTCTCTCACCCTCCTTTCTCCCTCTCTCTCTCTCCCTCCTTTCTTCCCCTCTCTCTCTCTCTCACCCTCCTTTTTCTCTCTCTCTCTCTCTCTCTCCACCCCCCTTTTTTCTCTCTCTCTCTACCCCCCTTTCTCTCTCTCTCCTCTCTCTAACCCTCCTTTCTCTCTCTCTCTCTCTCTCACCCTCCTTTCTCTCTCTCTCTCTCTCTCTCTCTCTCTCTCTCTCTCTCACCCCCTTTCTCCTCTCTCTCTCTCTCTCTCTCTCTCTCTCTCCCCTCTCTCTCTCTTCCCCTCTCTCTCTCTCCTCTCTCTCTCACCCTCATTTTCTCTCTCTCTCTCCTCTCTCACCCTCCTTTCTCTCTCTCTCTCTCTCTCTCTTTTAAACCCTCCTTTCTCTCTCTCCCCTCTCTCTCTCTCACCCTCCTTTCTCTCTCTCTCTCTCTCTCTCACCCTCCTTTCTCTCTCTCTCTCTCTCTCACCCTCCTTTCCTCTCTCTCTCTCTCTCTCTCACCCTCCTTTCTCTCTCCACCCTCCTTTCTCTCTCTCTCTCTCACCCTCCTTTCTCTCTCCCCTCTCTCTCTCTCACCCCCCTTTTTCTCTCTCTCTCTCTCACCCTCCTTTCTCCCCTCTCTCCTCTCACCCTCCTTTCTCCCTCTCTCTCTCTCTCTCTCACCCTCCTTTCTCCCTCTCTCTCTCTCTCACCCTCTTTCTCCCCTCTCTCTCTCACCCTCCTTTCTCCCTCTCTCTCTCTCTCTCACCCTCCTTTCTCCCTCTCTCTCTCTCTCTCTCTCACCCTCCTTTCTCCCCTCCTCTCCCCCTCTCCCTCTCTTTCCCCTCTCTCAACCCTTTCTCTCCCCCCTCACATTTCTCTCTCTCTCCCTCTTGGTCTTATCCCCCCCCCCATACTCTCTCCTCTCTCTCCCCTCTTTCAACCCTTTCCTCCCCTCCCTCCTCTCTCCCCTCTTTCTACCCTTTCTCTCTCCTCTCTCTCCTTCTTTCTACCCTTTCTCTCCCCCTCGCACCCTCTCCCCCCCTCTAGTTCTGCGGGAAAAAAAGAAAAAAAAAAAAAAAAAAAAAAATGGGGGCCCTAGAGGAGGGAAAAAACCAGAGATCTGGTAGATGAACCAGGGAGGAAAGACGGGGAGTTAGAGCTCCAAAAAAGGGAGAAGAGGGGGGAAAGGAAGAAGTAACTTGGTAAGAAAATGGAGGGGGGGCAGCTGAAGAGTGAGGAAGGGGGAAAGTACAGGTCTTGCACAGAAGCTAGAATACAGGTTAGAAGAAAACGCAAACCCCTGAAAAAATTTAAAGACAAAGACAATTAGATGTGACATCAGGAAATTCAATGCAGGGCGCAACAAGGGAGGTAAGCAAAACGGAGAATGCCGTACACAGGGCCCTATCAGACCCCACGGGGGGCCGGGGAAAAGACAGGAGCACCTAAGATCAAATACAGTCCAAAGACAATGAAGGTATCTATATGCAGAGATTCTAACAGCCAACTGCAGTAAAAGGAACTGGTCATGAAAACAGTTACTGGAATGAATTTTTCAGATATGACAGGACTGAAGGCAAGAACTGTCAATGGAAGGAAATAAAATCCCTCAGGAAGCAGATGGAGACTCAGTGGGAGGAGGAAAGGGCGGGTCTTTTTGTGTACGGGCTCCAAGAACCCAAAGGGGAAAATTTTGAAGAAAAAAAAACAGGGGGAAAAAAAATGATTGGGGGGCATCATAAAACAATAGGTGAGGGGAATGACCCAGGTAAAAAAAAAAACAAATTTTCAGAAAATTTGGGGGGGTTTTGCGAGTGGAAGATAGGGCCCTGTCAAGTAATTTAAAGGAAGAATCATTTCAAACCGGGATT